TTTTTTTTTGTTATCGTTATTATTTCTGGGAAGCATCATATGCATTTCGCAAAGCACGATGAAGTAATATAATAACATATGCAAAGTAGTCGGGGTCAGCGCGTCTAAAATGTTCTCTTAAACTGTAGCGATATCGTTTTATTTTACGACGTGTTTGAAATAATAAATTTCAAGTTTAGACTAACAATTGCCCTCATAATTCACTAATAACGCGATAGATGAGTTAAGAAATGTTTTTGCTCCGTTCTACGTATACGTGATTTACGATGACTTAATTAAAACGCGTAGTTTCCGGTGGCAAAACGTACGTGGAAAATGATACGCGTACCGATTTTAATCGCGGAAGAAAAAACATTCGCGCGGATACGCAATAATAATCGGCGATTGGTCGTGGCTTTTTCTTTCATCTTCGTGGGCAACCGATTTCGCAGGAATCTACTAGTCCACATCAGGATTATGCGCTATTGCACCGGGGGATGACAGTGCGTGAGAACCCGCCTTTCCGGGACACAAATGACTGGGCTAATGGACGATTATTATGCGCATCCTTTGCAAATTCGGGCGGGAAAGGTTCGCGTTAAGCACGTCCGCGTGCATCGAAAAACGTATATATATATATATATTCAAGCGTCGTTTGTACGTTTCGTGGGGTAATAATATACACGACGCGCGGTAGATGTAAGATAGTTATAATTAGGCATTTATTCGACCTAGCAACGTGCTGGTTACCCATGTGAACTTCCTTTTTGGCAATTCGGGAGTAACGTTACGTCGGGGAGCGTCTCGTTTCGTCGCTATAGCGCCGAATACAACTGAAATTAGTCGCTTGCGCGCGCACGCGCACTCGCGCGTGTGTATCGACGGCTCTCTTAATTAGCGTGCGCGTTAATTGCGAGTGCAACACTCGCGAGAAGAAGAAGAAAAACGAAAAGGAAGAGAGGAGAAAAAAGGAGAGAGAGAGAGAGAGGAAATTCGCCCTTCGCGCACGTCGTTTACGTTTTCGTTTACGACGTACTCCCTTAATCTCTCTCCGCGATCTATAGGCATAAATCGTTGCATCCTAATGGCTTCCGTCTCTGAGAGAAATGCTTTCAATTATCCCTCACGGAATAACGGAACCTTCCACGGCGAAGATCCCGTCGAGTGTTCCGTCGAGTCTTAAATCGCAAGAGAGCCTCTGTCTTGGCTTCTCCTTAATATTTTATAAGTCTCTTCTCAAATAATCATTAGGATTAGATCAGCACCTATATGAACAATTTCCAACTTTTCGCTTTTTGCTGAAGCAGAAAATTGAAGAAAAATCGTATCATTTTTTTTCAATGAGAAACAATTTGAGTTAGATAAGTTTACGTTGACTCGCTCGATCAAACATTACTTCGGTATTAGGTAACTTTGTAATTAAGCGTGTTGCACTTGAAATTCTTACGATAAAAATGTATAAGTGGAATCGAATTTTATCAGGAAATATATATCTTTCTCAGGGAACGTCGAGCGTAGCGATTCGTGGCGATATTGTTATTTTCACACATTTCGCCTCCCTATGCTTTCTGTTCGTCTTGAATTTTCCACGCAGATGACCTTATACGTCACGTATACGGTTATTCAGCTAATTAAGTCGCGCGGTAAGACTAACATCTGCGCTTATCTGTCTCGCGATGCGAAACGTGTCCCAAAAAGGCACCGAACGGACGAGAGAGAGAGAGAGAGAATAAGGGTTCATTGTAACCTCGTGCGTTTCCAACATTACGCTGGCTTAACTTCTCTCCTAAAAGTTTTATTAAGACGTTCCGCAAGACTTAATACTTAACATTTAGCGATCCGATACGATACCGTGCGGCAGTTTGTCATCTGGCGCACCTGTTTTACGAATGGTAACCTTAATAACAGGTAGGGTATGTGCTTTAATATCGACGCGTCTTTCTTTCTTTCTTTCCGTAAATATTTAACTTTGTCGCGTTAAGGAACCCGGAAGGGAAAGAGAGTCGCAAGAATCTTTGGAAATCACAAAGATATCGTCCTAAAAAAATTTACGAAAAATATTTTTCTTACACTTTTTCAAATATGTCGTAGTATTTAAAAATTGTTGGAATCGCTGATTCGGAAGCAAAAATCGCACTATTAAGATCGAAACATTTGATACAACGTAGTCGTAAAATTTAGAAATGTTAGTTTGAATTTCATGAGTTTGACTTTAGATTTGTAATTCAGCAAACTTTAAAAATTCTTGATATATTTTTAATCGAGCCTTGCGCGTGAATTTGAAGCATTTTTGGTTTACAAATTAGTGACATTTTACAACACGAGTTTGCAGTCTCAAAAATTTAGTACAACAGTTTAAAACATAATGTAAAACACAATCACGTAGCCAAGTCTAACAGACCGCGTCAATTAAACCCAGTAGCGAAAAGGTACGCTGTTTTACAAGCAAGTTGATCTCATAAATTAAAACATTACGAGATACGAGATAAACTATTTCGGAATTTTATACGGCTCCTAGAAGACGGTTCCCCTCCCCAATTTGTCAATCCTTCAACCGCACTATTGTATATGTATGATCATGTAACGCCGCTTATTCTCTCTCTCTCTCTCTTATCCTCCCAAATCCACGCGAGAGCAACGGTACGTGTTTCGTCGTTATATGGTCCGTAGACGGATTATTCACACGTTGAGTCGGGCATTATGGGAGACGATCATTACGACGAGACGCGGCCAGACGTCTTGACCTTCGTCTAAATTCACGTCACTGACCGTAACGCGAGTCTAATACGAAAGAGAAATGAATCTGGTGGGGATAGGAGAGGAAGGCCAAACTAGATATGCTTTATCGTCGAGTACAGAACAGTGGTGGATTTCTCGATAGGCGTTTGTATGTTGTAACTCTTTACAGGATCTCGCATTTGACAAAAAGAAATTAGTTGGAAAAAAAGGAATCCTTGATTCGAGTATATTTTTATTCTTGAACGCTATTTGATTCATTTAAGCATAGAATGCTCTTTGTAATCACAAATCTGCATTTGCCTTAATAATAAATAAGTAATTTGTGTAAAGTATATTTTATCCTTAAGATACATTCTTGTTTTAAAATCGTTATACGGTAAAAAAACAAACTTGGTCACATTTGAACTAAAAGAATTATATACTTGAAAGTACCTCTTATACTCACTTGCCTTTGCAACTTTATTTTTAAATTGAAGTAAATTTCAGCTTCAACCAAGAATATTTTGCACTTTTATTTTTTAAGGATATCCTTTATCCAAGATTATTTATATTTACGCGCTATTGTAAGAATAAAACTGCACTTGAATCAAGGATACTGTTTTTTCTGTGTTGAGAAATGTATCTATAGACATATAATTGGGATTAAATATTTTTTACGTGTATATATAAAATTTTTCTATTATAATAATAGGTGATTTTTTAATTCCTTTATATTTGTGATCTTTCTGAATTATTCTGCACGAATATATTCTACGATTATTTTTTTTTATATGAATTAAATATAATATATTAATAATTAGTTGACGAAAAATTCGCAGCAATTTTTGTTTGACCTCAAGAAGGTCTTTTCGATTCTTTCTCGCGTGTACCTCGTTTACCGCGAAGGCGTCATAGACAAGAAAGAATTCTATCCGACGGTTTTGTTTTCACGAAGCCGTCTACCCAGACGCGCGTTTCGAGCCTGACTCCGGCAAATAAAAGCCAAGGACAACTAAATCGCGGTGGAATTGTTTGCTTTCGCGGCTTGCATTAGGAAATTTACGAGTCTGCGAAGAATTTTTTCGCATCAGCCACCGACGGACGATCAAGATAAGATATATCGAATCCGCTCAGCGTTCTGCTACTTGATTATATGAAAGATTTATTAAAGCGTCTTTATTTAATTCAACAACCCGAAAGCTGAAAATATATGTACTCGTAGAAAGATATCCGATCTCGAGTTTCGCTCTGCTCGCTTTGCGATCGGAATTAACCCTAACAGCACATATATAAAAAAAAAAAAAAAACTGTTCAGAGAACATCCAGAGGATATCCGGATATGTCGTGCTGTTAGAGAACCCACAAACATGAGCATTGGAATCGGTAAAAAATTAAGCATTTGCTCTTCTTTTAAATAAACACGGTAATTTATTATATTTGATATAAAAAAAATTTAATTATGCCTCCTCCTGATAAAAATCCAAAAATTAAGCACTTGCTCTCCTCTTGAATAAACATTGAAATTTATTTGCATATTTAATATAAAAAATAAAAATTAAGAAAAAAAAAATGTTTTAAATTAAATTATGCCCACAACTAAACTATTAAAATATCAAAGGAGTTTGATAGACTTAGGGGACACCTCGAGCTCAAAAGTCAAAAGTTATCACTCTTGCGACTTTTCGGCAACGTTTTCTCGAAACGACACGGTCATCCCGCGTTCCATTTGTAACGACTCCGCTTCCTACGCGGTTTCGCCCACCCAGGCCACGATCCTGTAATCTTCCCTTTTATTTTATGTCGACCGTGTCCTAACGCGTGTCTTCCGCCTTTTGCCCAAAGCGCTCGGCTGCGTGCACGCACGCACGCATACACGCGTATTACACCCGCATGGGAAGTGCGGCCGTTTGTATTTTGCGGAAACGCCGAGCGTGAGCGCGACATATGAAAAGCATATATATATATATATATATATATATGTTTGCACGGCAAAATACATCATAATGCATGAAGATTGATTTGGTTCGAAAATAACGGAAAACTCGGATATATGTACGCGCGCATAAATCTCTGACAAATCTTTTGGAAAAATTACACACGTTGCGTATTAACCAATAAACGATAAGCGCAAAATTATTGCACGTTACGTGCGCGTCTATTATTAAAACTATTTATATATTAGTTGCTACCAAGAATGTATAAAAATGTGAAAAATGTCAAACGATGTAATACCGCAGAGCCAAGTTAATAATGACCGAAAGAGTGTCGCGAGATAACGATGACATTACGGTTTATTATTACAGGAGCCGGGCGAGATGCGAGTTTACTCTGGAGGATGGTTTCGCGCGAACTATCGGCTCGATTATATCACTATCGAGGCGGCGCATCGGCCTGCCATCGTGAATTTTCATCCCACCGGAGCAGCAGCAATCCGGAGATACACATCGGTCAAGGTAAACAGACGCGTTTTATTATTTGCCAGGCTACTTTGTTTGCGAAAATTACGTATTCGCGCGACGATCATTGTAACCTCGGTTACATATTCCCCGGGGTTGATGGCGGTGACGATGGCGGCGACACCCGCGAGAGCCGGGGGGTGGGAGAGGGAGTGGAAAAGTTGGGAAGGGGGTGATCGTGGAGGGGTGGCGCACCGAGAGGGGTGTGTATAAAAGAGTGTACCCCGCGCGTCAGGGGGGTGAACACGGGTGAGACATCATCATCGTTGTTACTTGAACGTTTTTGTCGGTGACCAAAAAGAGGGGGTGGCGTCATTAATGCGCAGGTAGAGGAGAGGGCCCGGTATACGTGTATATATATATATATATACACACGCTAACCAATTCGTTTGCCGGCGCGCGTTATGGTTTTACCGGCGCGGGAAAGAGAGAGAAAAAGAGAGCGTTTGTCAGGGTGGGAGGGGGTGAAAAGGGGACGCGAGCGCGGGATCGAAATGTTATTAATGTCGGACCGCGCGATAGGAGACAAACAAAAATAATTAATATTTATCGTCCGCGATTTGCGCGTGTATGTCCAATCGAAACGCAATATTCCCTCAGGCGGCCTTCGCTAATGCAAACACATCGGGTCCGCGCAACCATCGCGAAATTCCGACCGTACGCCAATCGCGCTAATTCGATAATGCTGATCACGCTCAACAGTCCCGAGCAGCTCGGCTCTTTGCTTTACTTCCCCTCCATCATTTTTTTTTTTCCTCCTTCTCGTAAAACGGGCGGGCTGCGCTGCGCCCGATAAACTGTCGCGTTTGACGGATATTAATGCGCCATGCCGGAGGAGGGCTTCCGCGTTTTCTTTGAAAACCGATTCGATATAGGTATTTTTCTATCTCGTTTTCAGAACTATACCGTATACGGTATTTAACAATTATTATATACCGTTATCCGATACGATTACGGCGCGCGGTGGTAAGAAACGTAATTATGTAAAAGGATTTTATCGCATTACTATTATATTGTTGTTATTATTATTACTTTATTATTCTCATTGCCCGTAAGTGTAATAAATTTAGAGGTTTTTCAGAGTAGCGTAAGTTACAGAGAATACATTACGGTGGGGCCGTGTATATCACGGAATATGGGAGGAAATTATTATCATCTGTAATTACCAATTAAAATTTGAAATACGCAATATGCAATTAAAATTTTATATATATATATATGTAATAACCAGCCCAGAAAATACATTTTGTAAAATAAACCTAGGGATTTTAAAAGCATTCGACAATTTGCGTAAATGCGTGACGCGAACCACAAATATGCGAAAAAGATTTTTAAGACAGACGCGGATAGATTTATTAAACGCAAACTCGCGATACTTTGAAAATTTAGACGGCTGTAATTTCGTTTCTTTCGGAAACAGAGATGTTTAACGCGGCATAAAAAATAATGTGCGCGTTGCTGACTTGAAATTTTGATTTCATTTCTAACAAGTGTGAAGGAGAATTATCTATATATAAATAAGTGTAGTTAAATTATATTACGTTTTGCTAGAGATATGTATCGCTGTGAGTTTATACTCGAGTCTCGACACGTTATCTTTTCTTTCACCGTTCTGCCTTTTCGCGTTCCGACTATTAGTATTTATTAATTCGCATAAAATAAATAGATAAATTGGTAATTACATGTATCGTAAATGATAACAATTTACAGGCAATTACATCATATGATACTTTGTACATAAATTTTTCAAGTTGTTCTATTTTCGCTACAAAGTGGTTGAAAGGCCAAGAGAGATACAGAAAATATTTATAGTTACTGATTTGAAAAGATTACAAAAACTTAACGAGGCTTTCAATGTGGAATACATATATTTAAGTCTCAGAGCTAGAAAGAGCTAGAAATTTCCGAGTTAGGAGACAATTCCAAAATGAAGATGAAAAAAGCGCGCGAATTATTCTTAAAATATTCCAACAGAAATAATATCATTCAAAGTCAGTCCGACAATGACACATTTACATACGCTTTAACATGCACATTATTTTTTTTACGCATCTCGGAACACATCGGTTTGTCGAAAAAAAAAAAAAAAAAAAAAAAAGCTCCTTTTCTGCGATAGTGCTTCCTCCCAATTTCTCTTAATCCGGCCGTGTTTTTTTCGCGAGGGCATCCGCGTTCGGCAGATACACCCCGGTTCGTTCCGCTCTCGCGGCAGGCAGAGCTCGGCAGGATGCAACGAAACAATTGTCGAGAGAGGAAGAACGTAAAGGAATTTTTAGCGTGCCTACGAAACCGTGACCGGGCCGGGCCAAAATTCACGTTGCGTCAGCGTACACGCCCGCGACGACTGCGCTTTCATTCCCCGGCCTCGTTTCTCTTTCTTCCTCTCGTCGCGTTTCCTTCCCTTCCGTTTCTATTCCATCGTGCGGAACGATTGTCGCTTCGAAACCGCAGAGAGAGAGAGAGAGAGAGATTCCGCAGGTTCTTTAATTCGGCGATAAAGACGCGTAAAAGCTAACGCGATTGAGATGTCTTCTTTCGAGCGGGAGAAGCGTATCCAAATATTGTATCAGATGCGGCTGCATTTATCACAGTTTTTCACTTTTATATCATTTCTAGAGTAGGAGATGATAATCACTTGAAAATATATACGACAGGCTTATGAATTTTGACTTGTATTTCTCGGATAAGAATCTATTTAAAATTGATATATTTTTCACTTTTTATCGCAATAGCAAGCGAGATGCTTTGAAATACTGCAGAAACGTAAGTAGGACGCTTTACACACACACACACACATATATATATATATATATAAATATGTTTGCTCGAATCATATCTACGTATCGTAAAGGAGAAGATAATAATCTTGGCAGTGCATTCTTGCATTCCTGCATCGCGGAGAAGAATTGTTAAACGTAGTTTTGCGCCAGAAGAGACGAAGCGCTATTTCTTTCTCTCAAATCAAACATTCTGGAAATAAAGTTTCGGCGCACCGTGCAAGCAACCGGTCGCACGAAGAAGCACACGCCTATGCACGCGCACATACACATCTATATACAATGTATGTACGCATGCACGCGCAGTCACGCACCGAGTTAGTTTGAGGGTTTGCAGCAGGGCCGTTGCTGTCGCACATTTCGCAACGAAAATTCAAATATGCGAACTCGAACTAACCGTCCAAGTCGTTTATCGCCTCTCGGATCTCTCTACGAGAGAGATAAGCGGTTTGGATATCAGCCTCTCTTTTTACATAACTCGTCAAATCGCTCGAGAGTCTTATCTGGGTGAAATAAAGATTCGGAGATTTTTTAGAGAGATAGGTAAAAATTAATTTAGATTTATCTATTAGAGAAAAGTGTATATCTTGTTATCGGTAGATTATCTCTCGTTAAGATCTTGTATCGGATGAACGAGCTTATTAAGACGCACAAACTAAATCGAGTGCAATCCTTTTTGCTCGTTTGAGAATAAAATTTATTTTTCAAATCAGACATTATCAAAATACTCTTAAAAAAAAATGTCGCACACATTTCGACGTAAGACAGAGCAAAGAGAGGAAAAATCGCGAACGAGGCGCGAATTACGACCCTCGGACACCTTCGCGCGTCTTTCGGGTCCACAAAGGGGCACCGAATCCCGTATAATGGGCAAAGTCGCGGTCAGAGTCAAGTAAAGTCACGTTGGAAGCGAACAGTAACAGGGGCAATGCACCGGTGCCGTTGCGCGCTCTGGGCGGGTCCTTCGCGGGCAGGTGGTCCTCGGCTCAAAGAACTTTTGCCGGGGCATTGATCCGCGTGAAACGCGCGCGGGGACCGCGAAGCGAAGGAGCGAGGCGTGCGTGCGTGCGTGCGTGCAACAAACGCGCCGGGCTTCTTTCTATGCGTCCACGGATTCTAAAACGTCGAGTGTACTCTCTCTTCCTCCGTGTGAAACAACGCGCGGCGGAAAAAACACGAAAAACGGGGCTGCGCAAAGTGCGCGCTCGCCCGAAATTGACCGAATTTCGCGTGAAATTCGAAAGCGACTCTCTCTCTCTCTCTCTCGCGCGCGAGAAGATTCTCCTGCACCGCGAAGAGGGGACGTAGAGTTGTCTCTTGTGTAAGGATGATTCGACCCTCCACCGTACCTACTCCGAAACGTGGTAGAACGAGCTTCTCTCTTCCGTCCTCGATGCCACTACCACGGAATGGGTTCCTCCGGGCGTTTCGGGGCTTAGCACACCGAGGACGTAAGTGCATTCCGCACTTGCGCCCGCGAATTGCCTCTAACAGATCTTACGTACGCTGGCTGTCGAGAGCCCATCCTCGCCCAATTAACTTTGCAACTGCATTAATCTTCCTCGCATTCGAGCATTTCTTTTTGATTTTATTTTTGCGATTTCATAATATCTCTTATATATATATATATAGATTTCGTTCAGCGCTGAAACGAACGAAGGATGTTTACAACAAAGAACGCTTGCGCGCGCTTCGTTTATCCATTTATCTATTTTTTCCTATTTTTTTTAGACGAATAATAAATATTTCTTGTACTGAAAAATATTGATACAAGTAGTGTATTCGAAACGCTCGCGCGGATATTTTTTTATTTATCGGCAATCGACGTGTATTTGATAAAAAGACGCGGTTAACGAATAATTCACTTGAGAAACTGCACAATAGCTGTTTCTCTTTCTCGGCAGAGCCGCTGCAAATAGCAGAGCTTCTGCATTGCAATATTTAGTCGGATTAATAAAAAACAGCGTGTTCAAGAATCGGAGATTTTTAAATCTAGAACGTTTATAAACGATGTATTTATTATTATTTCGAATTTGCCACCTAACTCTATACGAATGTAAATTATGCGAGTCGAAATAAACGGATAAGAAAAATATTTTCGCAATACGCTACCTGCGCTTCGAAGAGACTAGACTCTCGTCGTAGTGCGATCTAAACACGATTGCACGTGTTATTCGTCTCTTATTACGCAGACGCGATTTAAATATCGCGGACGCGGCT